CAGTCTGATTGCACATTTTTTTAGCTCTCACTGGTGACTGTGAAATCAACTCAAAGTTGTTTTGTGTAAAATATGTTCCAGATTGAAAATGAATTAATCTTGGATCTTATATGATGGCTTTTTTATTATCCAAGGTAAAGGGTTTACTAATTTTCTCTTTAAAACAACTAATTGATTTGAGATTTTAAGGAATTCCCAGTCCTATCCCAGCTGGTTATTCCTAGCTCTTTCCTTGTGGAAATTTATGCCAAATACCAAGTCACTAGCTGTTTTGCAGTGCCTAGAAAGACATTTATGAACATCAGGGAGAGGAAGAGAATTAATAGTTTTGTTTCCACGCTGCTTACCACCTATACTTATAAGGCAAATATGTTTTTATATTATTTTAGCTTAAAATGCTTCTCACAGACTAGTCCAAAACAGATGAGGATGGTTGTCACATTAAGTGTGATATGCCCTCCTTTATTTTTGGCTTTAAAAAAGGCAGAGCAAGTGCGACAGTAGTTAATTATGAGAGGGAAAGAAGGAGTACCTTGGTCCTCATTGGACCTGGATGTTTTTAGGGTTGTAGTAATTTTACCATTGTGATAACTCAGTTTTTCAGTGGAACTGTCTGTTAGTATTCTGGAATTTATATTCTTGGTTTTGGGTTTTTTTTTAAATGAATGCAGATAGGAATTAAAGGAAACTAGAAAGAAGTGCTTCTTTCATGGCAACGAAGAGCAAATTTAGAGATTAAAATGTCTGAAGACTTTGATTTAAATATTTCTACTATGCTTTCCTTACGCAAGACAAACACATAAAATATAAGTCTGTTACTGCAAATGGAGAAAAAAGGGTTACAATAAAGAACTTTGGTTTCACTGTAGATAAGTGCAATCAAATTTCACTTTATGATTGATAAATATGAAATTGAAAGAGAATCCTTGCCTGCTCAAATGTGTGTGGAGATTTACTATAAGAGAAAAAGTTGTAGATGGTTATAGAGAATACCTTCTTCCCTTTGTATTATGTTTATAATTAAGATGACATTTGAAGACACCAGTATCTCTTCCAAAAAATATATTCTTAACAATGCATTGTTTCAATTGTAGAGGTTGGTAGTCCTTGGAACTGTGAATCAGAGGAGGTAGAAATGTGTAAAAGTAAATAGAAATGTCTAGTTTAGGTACCATGAAACGTCTTCCAAAATATGGATGCAAAACATGGCAAAACACACTGTTCTGGGAATTTTTTCGTAGTTCATCTATTTAACATGAAAGTAATTGTAATGAAGAATATTTTATTTGATCTCCCTGTAGTCCATGTTTTCACATTTTACTGTTTTTACTGTGTATTTTTATTACTGTGTCATTCTTTCTTGAGCAGAATGCACTCATGTTTTTCATTTAACCAAAACAATACCAAATGCCTCTCAAATTTTTCTGGAATCTTATGCACTTCCTAAGAACCTTATGCTTGGCAGTTATTTGGGTTTTTTTTTTAATTATGTTGATGAATTTGCATTGAAAAATCTTCATGTCTTCAGTTTTGTTTGTTTGTTTGTTTTTAATAAAATTCTCCTTAGAATAAGATCTGAGCTCTGCTTTCTTAGATGGTTGTTTCCTCAAGCCTGTCAGTGTTTAAAGAGCATTTGGACAATGCTGTTAATGCCATGCTTTAACTTTTTCAGTCACCCCTGAAGTGGTCAGGCAGTTGGACTAGATGATCATTCTAGATCCCTTCTGACTTTAACTGTTCCATTCTATTCTCTCCTCATTTCTGTCCGTTTTTCAGAATTTGATTTGAATAATCTGATTCTGAAGAATTCTGATTTTCACAGGTAAACAATTTAATTCTAGGTGTTCAGCTGCAGATATTTTACTCCGTTTCGAGAGCTGATCTGAATATCTTATCAGACATGTGTAGACATTTTCTCTAACTTGGGGAAGTATTTCACTTCTGTTCTAAATCAAAAGGGCTTAAAAGACTAGCCTAAGTTCTGTGTCGATGTGGCAGCTTAGGAAGAAGCACTTGTATTGCCTATCATAATAAATGAGAGAAGCTCATTGAGGAATGGCTGCCGTATTCAGAAAAGTGGAGATTCTGCGTAGTGCAGTGGGTTTTGAGGATGGTGGTGTAGGTTAAGGTAGATACATGCATCAATTTTTAAGGGGTATCAACCTTTCATGGTAGACAACTTTGGTATAGGAAAGATTGCCTGATTTGCTTATAACTGCCTGTTTAGTACATCCTCAGTAGGAATTGACATTTGTTGGCAATATCCATCTGACTTACAACCATGATCTCAACATTAGTTTGCTGCTTCGTTTCTTACAGCTGTGTTGTGAAAGATGCAGAATAGTTAAAAAGTGATAAATGAGCCTGATAAAGTACAAGCGGTAATTCAGGGTACTTAATCACAGTGAAAACATGGTCTTTACTGAATATTAAATGTTTACTTGAAGAATGCAAAGTAAGACTGAGTGTTTGATATAAGAAAAAGGTTGTATTTGAGATCTATGATATGTAAACAGCACTGATTTATGCTATGGTATACCAGTTCCTGTAAGGATTTTTATCTTAGTGTTCACTTTATACTCTGGCTGAAATTTGTCTTACCACAGACATCTTCCACACATTCTATTAAAAATAAGATACTGAGTGGCAGTGTGATCTAACTTTGTCTCTGGTGTTTCATCCAGGTTTGTAGCCAAGTTATAAAGTTGCAAGTTCATTATGAGTTTTTACAGTTGCCTACTGACAGTTTTTGATGTGATATAGTTACTTAAAGCAGTACCCACAAGGACCCAAGATCTCTCTTTTTTCTGGCTGATAACAGCAGATTTGAGAGCCTGTCATTTTGTACATATGGGTGAAACTAGTAATGGGTTGTTGCTTTCCATTTTCTAACTTGGAACGCTTGCATGTTGTTGCCTAAGTCCTTGATATCAGAAGAATCTTTGAGCTCTCAGTAATTGGTGTTTTTTAACTGTATTTGATTTTTGAGTCTTCAGCAAACGTTGTTGCTTCACTGATCTCCATACTTGTTACCAGCTCATTATCACTGTGATTCTCCACTGATAACCTCTCTCTCTTGTGAAGACTGACTTGTAATTCCTCTTTACCTCCTGTCTTTTGCTTGGGAAATGCAAGTGCAAAAATATTGTTAGAGAATGCTTTTTTTTTTTTTTGGTACTGAATAGTCTACTTCTTTTCTTGAATGAATTATGTTTTATTTTTTATGTTTTAAAGCAGGGATGCTTGCTTTGTATTGGTTCTTGAACAATTTTTAACCATGGTCATTTATTTCTGTCTACTCACTTCTTTTTTGTTTAGATTTTCCTTGTCTTCTTTTTCTTTCTTTTTTTTATTTATCTTGATTTTTAGGATGACTTCTTTAAACAAGCAACCCTCACCCTACCTTCTTAAGTTTTTGCCATCACTGTTAATTAGTTCATTACTTTGTTTCCTTTACTGAGGAAGCTGATTTTAATTATAATTATAATTATGATTATTGTTAGTGACTGAAATATGCTTAGACTGCAGTTAAGGGAAAATAAGGCACATTTTAAGGTTTTATTTGCTGAAATTAGAAATCACTCCGATGGAGTATAAATGTCTTGCTGCCAAATGGATGAGTGAAATAATCATAGTACCCACTGGTTAGTCCCTAGCCCAGTAGAAGACTCTCCATAAACCAAATTTTGTCATAATTCAGTGTATATTTCAGTGCGGATTTGCTGAGATGTTTTATATATACAGACAGATTGTGCTTTTTTTCTAAAAGAAGACTTTGAATATTGACTTAAGTTTAACCATCAAAAGAATTTAACAATGGTGCTTTCAAAATTCTTCAAGTTTACTAGGATAAAGTAGGATGCTTAAGAGCCAGGCTCTATTTCCTTCAAAACTGAAAAATGTTTCTGACATTTAAAAGGGAATTGTATTTTTTTAAACTATGTTTCATATTCAGTTCAGTAGGGCGTTTTGAGTTTATCTTTCTTTATGTTACGCAAGTGACCTAAATTATTGAATTCCATTTCTAAAGATACAGGTGGGCTTGACTCTGTATTTTGCAGAAGTGTGTTAATTCATTTTTTCTTTGCCTTCCCTCCCTCCTAAAACATGTTGTACTCCTTAATTGTAGCTCGGAACTTTGGATAGCATTTTGCAAGTACCTGAGTAGATAGGAGTCAGGCTGTAATTTCATTAGTACTGCTATTAAATCACTTTTCCTCTGAGTGCTTGGTCCTCTCCCAGTGCCGTCTTTCCCTTGCACCAGCAGGAGGTTTCCTTGGCTGAACATGAACTGATATGTGGTATAATTAAGCAGGTTTTCCCTGTCTGTGCTGGTCCAGAGCAGATCACTGATTGTTTCTCTGAGCATGAGTGCGTGGCTGTTTGGGTGCTACAATAGAAAGGGCAGTAAGGTCTTGCAAACCTGTAACTAGGGGCTTATATCTAGAGCAAAACATAGCTAAGTTACTTTCAGTGTCTTTTGATTTATGAGCAGGCAAAATTCTCTTCAGAAAACTGTAGGAAAGCCTCAATTGCTTTTGAACTTCTCAGGTACTGCAGTGTCTGTATCTCTCTGGGCCAAGCTACCATTTCAATTACTTTATAGGAAGGAATATTTCAAGTATATTTTGATTTTATTTTATTAAAATCGTGTATTCAATACTATGACAAAATCGAAGGTTGCATTATATGATATTACTGTTTATATTTTGTACAAGCTATGTTTTGCATAGCATGATTGTTATTTTGCTCTCTTAGGATCAGAGCTGTTATTTTCCTCATCAAAATTACCTCTCTTGTCATGCAGAAAATTTCAGGGTCGGTCACAATGTCGAGAGGTGACGTCCCTGCCCAAAACAGGGAGGTTGGACTAGATGATCTCTAAGGTCCCTTCCAGCCTATACCATTCTATGATTCTAAGCTGCCTGAAACAATGAAGGTATGAAAGACACTAAACTATGTATTTCACATTGTAATGTTGTTCTTGTTTTCTTTTCTAGCTGGTTGGTGGCGAATTTGATCTAGAGATGAACTTTATAATCCAGGATGCAGAGAGCATTACGTGCATGTCAGAGCTTTTGGAGCACTGTGATGTAACGTGCCAAGCAGAAATCTGGAGTATGTTCACAGCCATTCTACGCAAAAGTGTCCGTAATTTACAGACTAGCACGGAAGTTGGCTTAATTGAACAGGTACTACTGAAGATGAGTACTGTGGACGACATGATTGCAGGTATAAATTGCCAACTGATAAAATAATTATTGCATTCTTGAACTGTCAGTGTTTTGTGGTTATGGAAGGGATGTCTTGGTTTTTACTTACAGTTTTATTTTGATTTGTACTGCTATTGAGTCAGAAGCACTTTTTTATCAATTTCAGGAAAATGCCAAAGTTATATTCTTAGTTTAAAATAACTGCCTGTTAAGTCGTCTGAGAAGATACCATCTTAGTGATAAAAAGAATTTGAAATATAATTAAGAACAGTATGTGTTAGATTTCATAACTGTCAAGCTAATAGTTTTTTAAGTGCCTTGATCATTTTGAAATATTCAGATGTTAGAAAAATTATTATGATCCACTTCAAATATAACTTACATCTGACAGCTTTCATACCTTCTAATGCTGGACATTTGGATTATATTAAACTATCATTTCATAAAGTGTAGCTGTGCTCCCTATAATATCTCTTCGGTTTTTATACTTGTGGTTTTTAACATCCTATAGTTTTTACATCCTATAGATTAAAAAATAAATAGCACTCTTTTTTCGCTTACTAAAAATAAGTGAGGGACTTGCACAGCTAATGTTTTCATAGTACTTTCAAAGTAGTTTATGTTAATCCATACTATGTCCTCTCAGTAGTAGTTAAGTACAGATTGTAATCCCGAATTACTTGGTTAGAGGAGCAGGTTTGGTTGTCACATTTAAAAATTGTAGCTGACAGCTATACATGATTAATGTTTATTTACTTATTTTTCTTGGGAAAAACTTAAACCAATCAGTTTCTTTCAGCTCAATGTGAAAATAGTTTGGTTTTGTATAGTTTGGGATTGATAGTTGGATGCTTAAATTGTGAGGGATTTTTGAAAGACTGAGAAGGTTTGCCTTCCATAATTCAAAGATTTTAGTTGATATTCTGACACATATATGGACTATGTGGAACAGTAAACCAGGAAGGATTTCAGACCGGAAAAAAGAGGAGGATAACAGCAACATGAAAACTGGAGTATTCAGGAATGTTTTTGTCTTTGGTTGAGTTTTTTTTTTCAATATAAAGTTGTCTGTAATATATTTGAAAATGTTACATTTTGTATTTCAGAGCAAGTCTTGGAGAACACCTTGTTAATTAGATGTGTGCATGTAAATGCTAAAACCAGAAGTGTTATGCTAAATATTGTTCTACGAGATTCTGAC